GTCACTTGTCCCCCAGCTTGATAAGTTTGGGGTGGAGACTGTCACGTGGAAATGTCTGATTCATTCAGGGCGTTGGTAGGGTGTCTGTTACAGTGTGCTCGTAAATATTAACGTTTTGTTCTATAGGGCAGCCCTTGTTAGCCTTTCAGAAACAGTTGTATTAGGTTCACTGTTGAGGGATTGAGTTTCGCACCCGATTTACCGTCGGATAATAGTTTAAAACAAGTATATATATGAACCCAACACGGACACAACTCTAGCTTTTAAACTGCCCGTATTTCTGTGTTAGTTCGGAAAATAGCGTGTTTGTATTGCAAGAATTGGAAATATTTCCAAACGTAGTGAGAGACCAAAGACTAAATCAACAGTCACCACATCTTGTGCTTGGAAGGGTTAAGAATTGGTGTGACAATAATCTGTAAGAGGGTTCCTCTAGTTACAGGTCAAGATCTGCAGCTTGGTTCTTGGTTTGATTGACGAATGTCACAGTTCGTATGTTTACTCACTGGTCCATCATTTCTACTTACGGACTTGTGTTTATTAGCAATCAGTGTTCTGATCGACGGTTTTTATACTTTTATCCACCAGTGAAGCAACACGAAATACAATCTGGTAATATGGTGTACATACCACCATCAGAGATATTGTCGCACCCGTGATGTCTATAAAGTACCCTCCTCCCCCTCCTGAAGATTGTTAATTCGGCTATTTTTTGTCTTCCATCTCCTGTTTTAACCACTCGCGCCACCATACAGTAGTGTGTTATCTGTCAGTCGACAATAAAATGACGTCACATAAGGAACACTTAAACTTGTAATTTTTACGGTCATGGCGTCAGTAAAACGTGCGCATGTCAAGAATCACGAGCAGAATTATGCACTGTGTAGGCTACAACACAGCATGACATATAAACTTCAAAACCAAGTAATAAAAATATTTATTGCTCTTAATTATGGTTTTATTTACTCTCGAAACAGAACACTTTCCGGGGACTCTGCGGTAGTACATGTAGTGGTAACTTTTATTATGTCAAAATTGGGGGGGAGTGTAGATTGATCAAAATGAAGTAAACCACTTGTAGATAATGAAAAGCAATTCCTGCCCCCAGGATAGTGACCCCCTGTAGCGGACTGTTGTGGCACTTGATCCTATTAATAACAGGAGGAAACAGATAATTGATGTTTATTTTTTGTTAAATTTTAATTTTTAGTGTAACAAAAGGTATTTATCCAATCCTTCGGTCTCCTGGGTAGTTTTTCTCTTTTCTCCTTCTGGTCTCCTGGGTAGTTTTTCTCTTTTCTCCTTCTGGTCTCCTGGGTAGTTTTTCTCTTTTCTCCTTCTGGTCTCCTGGGTAGTTTTCTCTTTTCTCCTTCTGGTCTCCTGGGTAGTTTTTCTCTTTTCTCCTTCTGGTCTCCTGGGTAGTTTCCCTCTTTTCTCCTTCTGGTGATGAAATGCTTTACTTGATTACGACTTTTATGTAGGGATGAATACCACATCTGTGTTATGATGTATAAGAGAAGAGACATTATTTTAACTATCAATATCACTTGAGAAGAACAGTGTCGTACACCCCACCCCCATAAAGTTTCCACCTTTCCAGATACTTTGATGTCTGAAAATACGTTAATCTCAAGTCTATAACTTAATATCGCTGTACATTAAGAACTTAATTTTTGGTCAAACAAACAAACGCACACCCGCCTGTACGTGTATCGCTAAGTTTTATAAACGCTGGGTCTGCATATTGTCTAACACCTAACCGCAACGTTTATCAAGTTTCACGAGTTCATATGTGTTGATATCGCATGATGTCATGGAAGAAAGAAAACTTACGGGATTTCGTTAGTTTAAACCCATTTCAATCAAACAGGTGGCGGGTAATGCGACTAAAAGATAGAACATATTCGTTTTATTTTTAACGGCCACTGAATAGGGGTGTATAAAAAGTAGGCCGGTATTAATTAACCTCATCCGTGTGAACGTACTTTCAAACTATACGGTCTTAAATCTTTACTGTAAGCGACATTTTCGATACAGCTTAGATGTCTTAAACTTACGATCACGTAACACGATAACATGTTGTAAATTTCTAGCCAAAACAACGTGCAATCAGAAACGTATATTGCAATTGTGACAAAAAGAAAGCATACAAGAAAAGGTTATCAAAATTTGGGGGTATGATATATTTGTTACTGCATAAGGTACTTTAGTTTTTGCTGCCATCTGGTGATAGAATATAACCACGTGGTCATAGTTGCATTATGTGCCAAGTTTGGGCACAGCTAGATAAATTTCACACACTTTTACAGTTTTCTCTAAATTACTTGTACAAACATTCACGAATTTATCTGCATAAATCCCCACCCCCGTATTTTGATGATGGTTTTAAGTCTGTCTTTTTTTTCTAAAATATTAAGATACCGTATTTCACACTTCATCGTATATTTTTGAGAATACATCATTACTACCGAATATCCTGTAAGAAATATGAGCTGTGATGACAAAGATATTAAAAGATCTTATATTATCACAATCTCACGCTTTCTTCTTTTTCTGTTATTATTTCACCAGACTGATATACGTAAGTTTGGAATCACACACATTTCCTGCTTCTGGTAGCCTTTATTTGGATTGATTCATCGCGTTCGTTGTTACGTACTGCATATTCTACTTTGTCTTTTTGTTACAAGTTTCTAATTTTACATAAAAATGAACATCTTATTGATTTAGAAAAAAAGTATTCTGAAGTCAACTATTTTCCTGGATAGGTGTATGTTTTTCTTAAAGAAAAGTCACATCAGGCTATCTGCTGTGTCCACCGAGGGGAATCGAACCCCTGATTTTAGCGTTGTAAGTCTGTAGACTTACCGCGGTCACAGCGGGGGTCTCCCGGATAGGTAAAATTTTTATCTATTTTTTCAAACAGTATAGTTAAATGTTATTAAGTCTGCTTCATTTGTGTACCACTTCAGTAAAACTTGAGATTTAAGACAACTAAACACTGCTAGTAGAAATTATCTCAAAGAGGAAATATATGGCCACACTTTTCATTCGTCAATAAGGAATCTTAGTGAAGAGTGGAAACAAACATCAAACTTGATTAAAATGTGTTCTATAATAATAATAAACATAAACATTTATTAAACAGCCCACTGTTAACAAACATCAGAAGATTCAAAATTTCTTATTATCACATTATCAACCAAAAAACAAAAAATTGAGCCCCCACACTTCTTAGCAGTGTGGTAAACAGCCATTACATACTAAACTGTCTTATAGTTGATTTATGTACTAGAATAATTGTATTTTCCGAGTACAGAACCAGAGTAATACAATCAATCTGGTATTAATTTAACCTCAGGTGTTACTCTATAGCAAGGCTCAGTAAAATGTTGTAACTGCCATCTTATGGGATAATTATAGTGCAACCAGAATGACCATAACTTGTGTTACATGGGGTGAGAGACTGTTTAAAAATTGAATAATTTCATCATGCTATTGGCTGGCCTAGCATAGCGAGAATGTCACAAAGACACTGTTTTAAAATTGAATTATTTCATCACACTATTGGCTGGCCTAGCCTAGCAAGATTGTCACAAAGACACTGTTTTAAAATTGAATTATTTCATCATGCTATTGGCTGGCCTAGCGAGAATGTCAGAAAGACACTGTTTTAAAACTGAATAATTTCATCTTGCTATTGGCTGGC